TGTATACACTGGGGGAAGGGTTCCGAGAAAGCGGTTGATGTTATGGGCGGTCCACTGTATGTGTCATGACTCGAGTAATAACCTTCTCCTCCAGTTCGGCTCGCTTTCAAGGATGGCCATCGATTCGAAATTTTCCCGATGATTCAACGTCTCAGCATGTTCGGCGACAGCGCTGCTGTCTTTGTAGAGCTTCCGCACATTGTTGGCGTGTTGCTTCAGTTGTTCCGGTAGGTGCTTCGCCTCGCCGATATGTGAAGAGGGGCACTAGGCGCACAGAATTTGTAAACGACACCGGGGGTCCTGTCCTTTGTTGGCCTGTCTTTTGAGTGGGAGAGGAGGCGGCCCAGCGTACACGAAAGCACGTGCGCGATGCGAATTCCTTCCTTCTTGAAGATCCGTGCCAACATCTCGCTGGTTCCCTGAACGTATGGGAGTGGTACGCTTTTCAGGGGGCTGCCAATTAAGATTGCTTGGGGTTTTCGTATCCTCTGTTGCTCTGCGCGGCGGGTGGCGGCTCGAATGAAGTTTTTTGGGTATCCGTTTTTTCTGAGGTCCGCAATTACGTGGGCCTCTCCTTTCTTTCGCTCCGTGTCATTGGAGCATAAGTTCTAAGCTCTCTGGAGTAGCGTGGTCACAACTGAGGCCTTGTGGCAGGTGGGGGGGGGGGAAGAGGGAGAACGGCTGTCGCAAAACATGCTGAGACGTTGTATCACCGGATAAATTTCGAAGTGACGGCCATCCTTGAAAGCGAGCCGAACTGAAGGAATGGAGGAGAAGGTTATTACTCGAGTCGTGGCACATATAGAGGGCAGCCCATAACATCAACCGCTCTCTTGGGACTGTTCCGCCTGTGTGTACACATAGATGGCGCTCCATGGCGAAACAAGAAAGGGGGGGGGGGGTCATTATCCGCCCCGAAAGTGCTTTGAAGATGCCGGGGCTACGTAGCCCTGCAGTCACCCCTGAGGAACGAACCAAGTAGGTTTAGAAACGTCGGGTTTCTTCAAATCTTTTGGTTGAAGTCTAAATCATCTCCCAGTTTCATACCCAACCAGATAGACTTCTGTCGAATGTTTACATTGAAGTCACCCAGGCATTGGGTAGCGCGACCTCTCAAGAGAGGTTGCTGCTGCGGTGGCTACATTGAAAAGCACTTGCCTCGCGGCCCTTGGACACAAGGGCACTGATGAGGCACTTGTGCTAGTGCCAAATATTTTTACACATGCTTTTACGATCAGAACCTTTTGTCACCCATTTTTACTATACATATCACGTCACTGTCATTATTTTCTTACTTCTATATTTTACCTATTTTAGCGCGAGGAAGTTTAAGGCCATTATACAGCCACCACACATATCCATTGTTCATATTTCGTCTTATGACGTGGCGCTCTTTGGTCTTCAAATAGCCCTTGCACCACAAAACACCACACATCATCATCATCATCGCGTTTGGCACGCTCTAAAGGTCATCGCATTTCTTTCTCTGTGGGTCGCCGCCTCTTGCGTTTCGATGAGAGTCATCTCCATGGTGCATGGTCTGTACTGCGTGCGCACTTATCAGACTCGTAATTCGGCAGAGCGGAGAGGTTACTTCGCTTGCTGCCGCGATCGCGTTTATGAAAAAATCACAGCCTATCCACGAAGTGAATGTTGATTGGTGGGGCGAAGTGTTCGTCAGCCTGTCGGTGTTTTCGTCCGTCCATTCATTCTTGCTTCCGTCCGTCCATGTGTCTATCCGTGTGACCGTCGGTGCATCCGTGCGTACCTCCATGCGTCCGTTCCTGCATCCATTCTTCCGTCTGTTTGTCCGTTCATTCATGCGTCTGTTTGTACAGCTGTCGCTCCATCGGTCTGTCCCTCCGTGCGTTCGTGCCTATGTCTTTTTGTGTTGCTGTCAGTCCATCCGTCTATCTGCTTGTCCATCCGTCCGTCTGACTACCTAGTGAACGCTCCAAGTACAGCCATCTCACATCTTTTCATCATGTGTTCATATACAAGTGCTGCCATCCAGCATATATTCTAAGGACCGCTCTTTCGGGTATGCGCCACCGGTGGCTGCATACACCATCGGAGGATGAATAGACCCACACCCTAAGGAGCTTCGCCCCTAAAAGCATGCTGTTCGCACACAAAAAAATCAAAATTGTGACAGTAGTTCGCGCTTGTCATGTATACTTGTGCGTTCAGTTCGTGCGTCTTTTTTTTTTTTTTTGTTCGAACAGTATGCTTTAAGTGTCGAGCTGTGATTTTGTGTGTGGTTTCTGCTTAAAGTGTGCTGCAAGTTTCGAGCTGGGGCACAATTCTCACGGTGTCCAATTTGTGGACATGTGCATTTCAGCGGAGCGCATTCAGGTAGGCAAAGAAACAGTGAGCCCTGATGTCATCGCGCTCTTGACCACATCCACACATTGAACTCACCAGCTCATTCCTAGTGTAACGAGAAAGAAAGTGGATGAAATGTACATTAACAGGACTCTTAAACAAACCTGACAAGTCTGAACTTGAGTATGAATGTGTTGAGATGTTAAAAGAACAATGCTGGGAGCACGTACCGAACTTCCAGTTGTGTCGGGTGAAGTGGGTGGCCGCATTAAACCTTGTTGAAGGGCCAACGTGATTAGAGTTCATGCAACGAGTAAATCTTACAACAACTAATTGTGAAGTCACACTAACAATGGCAATCAAGAGAGCTATTCTCACGGTGTCCACTAAGTTTACATGTTCATTTCGGCCTCCACTGATTGGCTGGAGCTCGGCAAGCAGCGCGCACCTGTTTCCGGTCTATCTTCCAAGCCGTCATTTCGTTGCCAATCAGCTTTCACAACTCTCGACACAAATGAGAAAGACTGCATACGTTTTGCCGCAATTAATGCTAGAAAGTCATGATTAGAGTTCATGCATGGCCTCCGTGCATGAACTCTAATCTGAACAGGTTCACGCACTCGCCGCTTCGAAAATCCTGCTTCGCCGCTTTGCCGCGCTGCCTTCGGTGTGAATGAGGCTTTAGGGTGACTGCAAGATTACCAGGCCTTCAAAGGTGGAAGAGCATTTGCATGACTTAAAATGCAAGGTGCGATAAGATGGCTTCATTCAATGAATTTCAAGGCTCTCTGAGGCGCATGTTGATTCATCAACAGTCTGACCGATGCATATATATGTGAACACAAGAGGGATTCGGTTAGCAACTATTGTGAAACTATTGAAAAAACAATTTGCATGCCTCTCTTAGTTACTTGTCTCTGCCCACTGCAGACCCCTGCGACCTTTTGCGCTCTATGGAAGAAATGTTACGAAGCTTATGTTGCTGAAAACACAACCCTCACCTCGTATCGCTTCCAAAATTCCTTTCAGACTTTATAGAACGTATGCATGGAATAACTGCAATATTCCTAGTTTCTTCGCGGGTGTAGGTCATCCGAAATAATCTTTGTTTGCAGTGCGAATGAGCTGTTCACAAACCAATCAATATGATATAGGTAGGGCACCGAGCATTTTTGCAGTTGGAAACTATTGCTCAGATAATGTGCCCAAGTGTTATTTTTTTTGCCGAGCGTAAGTACGACATCATTCTTCCTCACTGAACAATATTTGAATGCGCCGACGCAAAATTCCACAGTGGCCTCACTCAATGCAGAATATACTGCCAGCAAACATTCTCCACAGCGACACATGAGCGTCTTATAAGAAATCACAAATTTTTGGAGCAAGGTATCTCGCACGTGAATTCTAGTTCCATCCCTTCGTCTTTAAACACATTTAGAATGTGTTTACTTTTCCTATTTTCAGCACGTGACTTGTCTTTAAAAATTAAAAAAATTCTATAGCTGTAACAATTCTCTGCAGTCTTGTGTTTAATGACCCAATCAAATCGGAACGGTATAAAATTCATTGAACTTTATGAGCAGTTTGTCGTTCAATAACTCTTAATTCAGTGTTACAGCTCACGTTCCTTACGTTAGCATGTTTTGACCACATGTTTTGGCCCAGTGATACGTACACTGACTGATATACATGCAGGTGCATTAGGACCCTATTCAACAAGCGGCGGCGTGTTCTTTTCGTTTTGTTCTCGCACGACGCCAACAAGCAGAGGCAGACGAAGAGCCGGTTCACTTAGCGTACCAACTTTTTCCATAGTGCTCCATGAACTCGTGGGGCGTTGTGGGGTTGCTTGAAAAATGTATATTGGCATCATGCGGTGCAACTGAAACCATGAAAGAAGGCTGCCAAAGACCGCTCAGCACACTGATGCTAGAAATTGGTTGTGTTTTTCTCCTTGAGAAGGTAGCGCAATCATTTGCTGTGCTTCTTGTGATTTCTAGGAGATGGTAACATATCCCAGTAGGCATGCATCACTGTTGTGGCACGAAATTTCAAGCGAAGGTTTGGGGATGCACCTGTACGGCAAAGACACTGTGACAAAGACGAGAAGCTGCTGCTGTACATTTGCAAAGACACTCAAAGGGTGAAGTACATCGGATGGTATGCATTGAACGACTAAAGATTGGGATGATGGTGAATGATTTTCCGAGGGCAATGGTAGTCGCATAATGCCAGTGAATGTCATGACGTTCAGCTAGTATGTTGGTAGCTACACGTTCCTTATGCGATTGTAAGTAGACTGACTCGAATGTAGGTCGGCCCCTAAAACTGCATGGAAAAAAAAGAAAAGGGTGTATAAACAAATTTTATTTAAAAAAATTTATTTACAATGTCTGCAAAGAAAATGAAGTCAAATTTCGTTGTGTCAAGTTGCCTTGAAGGCAGTGGTGAAAAACTGTGCAGAAAAGCTAGCTTCGGAACATTTTTAGAAAAACATCATTTACAACTGAAAGTAGTCTTTGATTCTAGGTCAACCCCTCCCCCAACTTGGGATTGAGACAAAGTGGGTCAACCTACAGTGGTGTCATTGCAGTACATGTCGTTTTACGCTGCTTGAGATGGCATGATTGCTCGGTGTGCTGGAACGAGTGGTGATGAGTGCTTTCTTTGAGCAGGAGCGACTGGACCTGTGGTACGGTCTGCGGCAGATACCTCGTTGTTGGGCTGTGGTGCAGCCCCTCCTGTGTGCTGTGTACCGTCCCCGTTGTGTGGACGGCCTGGTGACACTTCCGAGCCACGAGACTTGCCGCCTTGTTCGCGCGTTCTGCCGAATCACCGCACTCAACTCTGATCGGTGGCCTTTCTTCCTCCGATGCCAGCAGGAAGGCACCTTTGCATCTGGCTGCAAGGTCAGCTGGGGGGAGAGGCATAATTATCACTCTGCGCAAAGTTTGTGTGAGAAATTTCTAGATTATAGTGGATAGTAAAAATGAACCAGATTGAAAGTGCGGCATTAACGCTCACACTTACTCTGGAATACATATCAATAGCAGAAGTTCTGCAAGTAAAACATTACATCCTTGACTCCCATTTTCGGAAGTGTTTGAGCCTTTGATGTCAACATACATTATTCGCATTTACTAGCACTGTCAAATTGATTATTCCAGCTTACAGTGTAAGTGAAAGAAATCATCAGAGCAATGTACTCAAGTATATATGACAGACTTGTTTTTTTTTTCATCAACTATGGTTCCCCATTATAACTGGCATTATTATAGTCGTTTCTGATTGTCACTGCATGTTAAGCATTCACTCTAGGCCTGTGCAAATGTTCAAGAGATTTGAATATCTTAACAAATATTACAGTATTATAATTCACTTTGCAAGAATTTACTATTTCTGGAATTTAAGTGTAAAAATGAATTAATTAATTTTACCACATGTAACCCACTAAGAAGTTCGTTTTTCTTTAGCATAGAGTAGTTGACCTCTAAACCTGTAAGAGCCGGTAAAGAAAAAAAATTTGCACTGCCACTTAGCCACACTTCTAAGGTTAAGTACCTATGACCCACTTCATTTTTTTCTCCTTTACCTTATAAGACAGAGGTCTCAAACTCACCTGACCTACAGGGCCGCAGTCGTGCAGTTTATTCCCACGTGGGCAGAACAGTCGACATCAGAGTGGCGAAGCGAAGAGATATGGCTCTAAATGGGTCACATCTGGGCACCAATTGCAAAAAGGAGTGGTCTTGTTTCGGGATTGCGTTTCAACGCATGGTGACTGCATGAGGTCTTTTACAATGCAATGGTTGTAGCAGCTTACCTGAAGAAAGTATAAGATAATCACAATGGGCAAAAAAACATTAGTGGGACGGCCCAGTCGGCGTGCCGTCTGTGGCCAGAGGCGAACGACCACATGCCGACTGTTCCACTTTCACGTGGTCTTGTGGTTGCAATGGCGAAGCTCCGAGTGAGTGCATTGGTGGCATCTCTCCATAGCGTGTCATGTGGTGGGATGTCACGCCTGCTACACTTGTGCTCCGGCGGCTCAATGTAACTGGGACTTGATGATTGACCTTTCGAGACATAGTGCAGTAAAGCCTGTGCTATATTAATGTGGGTACCATTTAGAGTACTGAAAAACCTCATTTGTTATGAAGCACTAACAGCTGAGGCACATTGGCTTGATGTCTGGCAATGCTTTGTTGCCACTAGCGAAGAAATATCTGCATCAATTTCTTGTGTTGGGACGACCCGCATTGTCGATTGCGGGTGTTTATCCATCAGCTGCGACCGAAGTGCCATCTTGCTCACCTTGAGCAGAGCTGCTCGCACAAGTATGTGCTTACGAAAATGGCGAACCATTTGATGTAGCACCGGGCAGGATGAATGAACTCGTAAAAGTCTGGACTCTCACGTCTTGAAACTTCTGCTTTAACGGAATGTTAGTGTGCAGCTTTAGAAATGCTATCTGTAACTGAAACGTGGTCTCACCCACCAGCACTAAAAAGGGCAAAGGGCAAGTTTGAAAATTATCAATGGGGCTGGCGACGTCTTTAAAGTGCCTTTCGAATTCTCTTTGGAGATAGTGCAGGAGATCAGAGAAGTTATCACATGATTCTTTACCCACGTTCTTTAACGGCTTGAGCACAGGAAAATGGTCAAACATCTAAAGTCTCATTTGATACTCTGATGGCTGCAACTTGGATTGGAAGGCTCTAATGCCGTTATGCATAGTTCTGTGTGCTTTCCTCGAAGTTTAGCATTCACGCGGTTCAATTAATCAGTGATATCTGTGAGGAATGCAAGAGACTGGAGTTACTTCTTGTCACAAAGCTCACCCGTGGCTCTGTTTTTGACTTCCTGAGAGCGTCGATTACCTCGCGAAGATAAAAAAATTGCTGCGGCCCTCTTCTACAACTCAGCCACTGCACCTCTGTATGATTCAAAATTTCATCATATTGCCACATGTGTTTCTTATTTCCCTTTTGCTGTATTTGCTTCATGCCCACTTTAGCAATGCTCAGTGCAAACTGCACCTCAGGGTTCGAGAAGCTTCACCATTGTAGTTAGTACTCAAACCCCATTATAACGAAGTTGCATCTTACGCTAAAATAAGTTATATTCAGAAATTTGTTATAAGGGTTTATTCCTGACACTATATTTATTGCAAGGCTATTTTTTATTTACTGCGTTACAAGTAAAATTTTGTTATATGCGGTTTCATTATAGCGAAGTCGTAGTATTGATAGTTCTTTTTTTAACATTGCGCACAAGACACGAACACTTGAGCTGTGGTAACGACCAGTGATAAGGCTGGAAAATGTGATGAGTGATGTATATAAAATGTTCAACGATGCATGGTTAAAAATGGGGCAAGGACACGAGACACAAAGGAAGAATACTCATGGACCCAAATATCATTGTGGGTGAACGTGGTTTCAACAGTGCCCAGTTTTTTCATGACTGACGTTCTGTGCGCCGATATGAGTGTTCAGCCAGCATGCTGTGACTTGAGTTTCCTTTTGGTGGCACAAGTTCGCCCAAATAGAATTTTGTCTCGAAGACGCTGAGTGCTGCCTTATTTGACAGCATGACTGTGTCACAACATTCACTGTCAACTGCTTCTGAAAGAGATACAAAGCTGTGGTGATTAAGAGCTTTTGAACAGATAAGGTTCACTGTGTCTGCGCCACTTTTCTTTTGGAGAAATTGGCTGCACAGTACTTTTTGGTTTAAAATGCAGTGAATGGCTGAAAATTGAGTGGTGATGCGTAGTGGGCTGAGTTTTGTAGGTAATTCACCACGATCCTGCTTTTGCATCCTATCATAGATGGTGCATCATTGGTAGCCAAACTTTTTCCACAACAAACACAGCACACTGCGCATTCTCTGAATTGTGTTTACTTTTGTAAATTGCCATTGAGAAAGCTTGAAATCCTTGGCATTTGTTGAATAATCATTTTTTTGTGGTTTTTCTGATCTCATTAATTCTCTCAGCCTCTGTGTCTGGCGACAGACTTCTTTTTTTAAATGTGTTTTTCATGCCAGCACATGTAGTGTCAGTGACTGCAAGCACACACATTTTGATGAGGAGGCCTCCAATGAAGGGCTTCGAGAATTTAGCAATAAGCTAGGAAATAACGAAGCTTGCCCTTACTGTCTCGTTGCTTGTTCTGGTCGTCTTTTGGAACAGACGTTGTTGTTTTCCCAACTCGGCTTTCAGTGGAGACATGGCAAGCTCACGCACCTTGCCAGTTAGAGCGTCTCGTGATTGCAAGACATAAGTGGCATTGAACATTGTATTCCTTCTGTACAACCACAGCGTGGTTGCAAATTGACACAGCACCTTGTTTCTCGATTTCGTGAAAAAATACCACAGTTTTCACCGCTACTGGAAGCACCTCTTCTTGTAGTCCAGTTTGAGTTTTCTAGAAATCTTGGGAAATGGCATTACAGCCCACTAATGTTTCACAGCAAAGGTCTTCATTCTTTGCAGATTCCAGAATAAAATAGGTGGGTTTTTGTAGATAGGGGATCTTTCTCTATTCACTGGAGGCGCTTACTTTTTTGTTTCCGTTTAATGCACACGCAGTAATTGTGGCTGATGTCAATGAAGAAATGGTTCAACTTCAGCTTGCTCAAAAGAGTAGAGGCGAGCTGAGCATCAAGCGCAAGCACTAGAAGCTGGCCTGACCGCAGTCGCTAATTTAGCACAGTCACACTATGGAATTACTTGTAATTTGATACACTGGTCAGAGCTGCTGAGATGTGACACTGCTGTGTGAAAGAGCGCATAGATCACACACTGCAGCGTCTGTGCAGTGTGCAAGAGCATGAACAGAATGAAGAGGCACACGTGTAAGCCCGCAACAGGTATTGTTGCTGAGCTAGTTGGTTCATGCTCGAGGAAAAAAAAAAGATACGGTGCTAAGAGGACGAAGCGAGGAAACGATCTGACAGACAGGAGCATCAACTTTTAGTTGTTAATTGAGAGATACCATACCAATTTGTAAAGGCTGTTAAACAAGGTAGTTTCATAACAGAAATAGACACATGTCAAAAGAAGCAAATCATCTTGAGCCGCTAAAACAGAGTCAGGGCATGCGCCGCAAGCTACACTGAACCGATCTGTAAAAAAAATGCCAGTGCCCATAACAAGTGTCAACCCTTAGTGTACAGCAAACTTGGCAGCGCTGTCTCGCCTTAAATGAATACAGGCTATCTTCCAAAAATTTCGCTTCTTTCTCGCACATACCCATTGATGGTGCACTAACACAGTGGCTACCTGCTTTTTTTTTTAATCAGCAACGCCTCACTTGTCTCCCTTTGACTTAAGCTGTTTGCTCTCCTAAGAAACTTAGGTGGGCTGAAGAAGGGCACACAACCGAAGCGTTTGCAGTGGTGTGCCAAGTGCACGGGCATGTTTTCAGTGTTGTTTTTGCAGCACTGTTGTCCAGGATGCCCCGCTCGGTCGTTGGCTGCGCGCCGATAATGTATCGCTGAAATCGTTTCACACTGCCGAAGTGGATGTAGCCACGAGGACACGCTGCCCACCCTCCAGGGGGCTACACTCATGTTAGATAGAGCTTGTCGACTGATCGGCACAAGCCTACGCATTGCAAGCCGTCAAAGGCTGAAGAAAGTCATCTATTGGCGCACTCCAAGTCGTCTTGTCATTATGCTAAGCCACGTCACACTATGTCTATCCATAGCGCACGACTTGCAACTCATTTGCGTACCACTCGAGGAACAGACGAAGTACTTGCGAGCAGACGAAGTACTCTTCAAACAGGTCTGGTACACCTTGAGGAACATAGCATATGAACAATAATGGTCAGTGGACTTTGTCTGCACTCATTGCACTTTCCATACCTCTTCATACATTTTTTTATTAAACTAATTCTCA